TCTGGACGCACAGGCTCAGCGGCCATGGCTCACGGGCCCAGCCGCTCTGTGGCACATGGGATCTTCCCAGACCGGGGCACGAACCTGCGTCCCCTGCATCGGCAGGTGGACCCTCAACAACTGCGCCACCAGGGAAGCCCCAACAGGAGGATTTTAAGCAAGGGAATGACGTGGGCAAATGAGTCTCCCTTGGTTGAAACCCTCTGGCCCAACATAATCCTTAATATTTATTCAACATAGTCTTTTAAAGCACATTCACACATGTTCTCTCATTTGAGCCCCTTAATGACTCCATGAGGTTGGTGTTATAAGTACATTTCTACTCATGAAAAAACAGATCCAAAGGTATAGCCTGTTTACTTTGTGTCTTATGACCAGTAAATGACAACATACGAATTCAAACACAGGCCTGTTGGACTCAGTGCTGACCTCACCGGGTAACAGAATTCTCTAGATATTGGCCACCATAGGCCTTCTTTAGATATGGACCAGGCCAGTAGCCTCCAGCCTCCACAGAAAGCCTTGGTGGCCAGAACTGCACAGCCCAACACGCATTCTGTGCTCAAGAAATGGTTGCTTTAATGCTTCAGATAATCAAATCAGATTCAAGTGGCAAACACCCTCAGTTATACCCTGGACGTCTCCAGTTTGCGAGCTGAGATTTCTGCCTTTGCTGCTGTCTACTAAACCATAAACAAGAAAAGCATCCTGCTTGATCTCCCTTCCCACCGGTACCTTGAGCTCATCCGCGTTGTAGAAGTCTACTCGCACGGCAGGCACCATCCAGGTCTGGAAGAGCGTCGCCAGGATCTGCTCGGCGATGGAGTCGGCAATGACGTGGAAATGCAGGGGGTTCCGCCTGTGGGCAGGGAGCGGAGGAGAGTCAGGAGGGAGAACCAAGGCCACAGAGACACGCTCTTACCAGCTGGTAGCGTGTGGCCAGTTTCTAACAGCAGTGATGAAGGACAATCAGGCATGTTACCTACTGGAGAGGACGTCAGAGCTGAGGAGAGAAGATGTCTCATCCAACCTCAGGATTTCAGAGACGTGGCCACCAAGGACCAGAGAGGGTAGAATCCCTGGTGACGTTCAATGCAAGCCAACCGCCATACCTGTTACTAGGGCATCTGTGTTTCTAAAAATCTTAAGTAGAGCATGTGTAACAATTTGGTCAACGCTTTATCTTTACCACCTGGATGTACCGGCATCAGTGCAGAAGCACGTGGACAAAGGATGAGGTCTTTGGACCAGCTGTGCGGAGCGGGTAACGCACCTCTCCCCCAGCACAGCACTAAGTCCTATCTTCTGCCTGTTCCTCCCCGAAAGAGAAACAGGCAGCCACGATGGCATCACCTGGGGCTCCCATAACTGAGTATCAGCCCACCCTCACTCGTAATATTTCTAAAGCCTTTATTCATTCTACCTCAGTTGACCCGCTGTTACACTGAGCCAGCACCCAAAATGCAAACCAGCAGTACACAAGGGCAAAGCTTCCAATTCAAATGGAAATGGGTTCGAAGCCCAGATCTGGCATCTATCAGGGGAGGACTTCAAGCATGTCACTTATACCTCTGCACTGCTGCTTCTTCATTCTGCAAAATGTGAAAAACCTCCTCTACGGGCTACTGGGTCAGTTAGATGAGATAAGAGGTACCATACATGATGCATCTCAACAACAGACAAAGATGGGATAACAACAGACAGCAGATATGCCTGCTTGAGGGACCGCCAGGCACAAACCAGAAGTTCAACCCAGAAGAACTATTACCAGAAATATCATTGCTCTAGTAAGAATAACGGCATACATCGTAATACCACGAACGAGCACCTCTGGAAATCTAAAGATGAGAACGACCTCGCCCACCCCAACCTCGAGGAGTTCTTACTATTTAGAGACAGTTAAATATAAACCCAAATATAAACAGGAGGTGGACTGTGATAACAGCTACAACAGAACACAAGGCTCCAGGAGAGCAAAGCAAAAGAAGGGCTAATCTGGACCGGGTCAGAAGAATGTGTAAGAGGTGGGGGAAGTCGTGCCCTGAAGGATAAATGACTTTATTCTTGGCAAAGAAGAGGGGACTCGATCCAAGGAGAATAACACGAGACTCTGGCTGGAGCCCAGGGGGTGCTGAGAGTGTGGTGGGAAGGGAAGGGTTAGCAGGGACTCAGGGGTTCGAGCAGAGAAGGGGAGAGATGCAAGCGCATAGGGAGCAGTGCAATGAACGCCCGCTTAAACAGTCTGGATTTGATCAGCTCGGTGTGGGCAGTAACAGACTGGCCCATAGCTCTCAGCCTCCTGCAATCGCTCCCCAGCCCTGTTCTAAGTTCTAGATACACAGATTTCTTTCAATTCCCCCTACCCTCGTGCTCTCTCTCCACCTGGGCCTTCGCACACACCGTTTACTCTGCAGGAAACCCTCTTGCATTTGCTCATTCTGTAAATACTTATTAAACACCCACTGTTCACCAGGTGACGTGCAGGATGCTGGGGACATGGTGGTAAGACACCATCCCTGCTCTCACGGTCTTGTCCTCTCCTTCTTCCTCCTCCTCCCCCCGCCCCTGCCTCCACAGCCCCCATTCAGCATTTGGTTCTCTCTCACCCAGCCTTCACTTCTGAGGTCTGCCATCATTTGCTTTTAGAATCCTTCCCTGACGACTCATGACTAAGTCGGGGCCCTTCCTAATGCACAGTCAGCTCAGCATCTGTGCCCATCCTTAGGCTGTGGTTGCCTGTTTACTGGTCTGCATGCCCCCTCGACCGTGAGCTCAGGGGAGTAAAGGATGGTGCCAGTTGTGTTAAAATGGAGAGCCCCACGATCAAACTCAGTGCCTGGGATGCAGTAGGAGTTCAATAAGCGAAATGAAGAGTGGGATAGGTGATGGATAGTGGGCAGCTAAGGGGAACAGAGGTGTACACCTCACTTAGGAGATTAGGTGAATGTGAAACAAGAATCCGACTTAGTGTCTGGGGAAGAGCAACAGCGAAGTGGAATCTAGAGGAATTTCAGGAGAAGAGATCTTAGATATGGGGGAAATGGAAAGGAAGAGGAAGACACTGGGGTTCCTGGGCTGGTGGTGATTCGTTCAGGACAGGGGCTACAGGAAGAAAGGCACACTGGAGGAAGATGATGGGTTTGGGACTGGGTATACCAAGTTTCAGGTGAGGGTGGCAAAGCCAGGTGGAACTGGGTAGATGAGTCTAGACCTGAAGAAAGTTATTATCCAAGGCCAACCTGCCAAACACATAGCAGGAGCTCAGGGTGCTGAGCTGAACAAATGACGCAAAGGAGCGATCAGCACTGCTGAACTTCTCCACGGCACCCGCTGCACGAACACTGCAAACTCTCCCATTAAACTGTCTATACTCAGAAGGAAGGGGCACGCCTGCCTTACAGCTTCCCTGGAAGCCCTACAGGTAGCTTCCCTATAAGAAGCTGCCAGCAGTCCTAGGCGATGATTGGTGGCATGAGGGAGTGATGGTGTATTTGTTCATCGGCCAGTGACCTACCTGGACGCTAAGCCAGAGACAGCTAGACAGCCACCTGGAAGTCAGAGGGTCCCCTTAGCCCTCAGTGTTGGCACAGTCATCCCCCTCTCCCACGAGCCGCGACCGGAGTCTTACGTATCAAGAATGAATGAAAATAAATCTGTATAACTGTCAGCTTGCATTTTTATCCACAGTAGAGAGATGGCTTAATTTTAGACATGGGTAACAATACCAAACAGATCAAGATACTCATCTTTGCCCCAACGCATCACGTTTTCCGCACATCTGTATCTTTGTCTGGGCTGTTCCTTCTCCCTGGGATACTCCCCTGATACTTGGAGGTCCCTGAGTACCTGTTCTTCCTTTCAAACTCCCTTTGTCAGTCATCTCCTCCTCAAAGCCTTCTGTGAGCCCATCTTCATCCCTCCCTTTTCCTGCTAACTGGGCACCTCAAATGAAAAGCTAATCTACCACTTCCAGCGAAGCACTGGGTGATACAAATTCAAACACCTGGCTCCTTCTCTGCACCGCGAGGCCTCTGAGAACAGGAACCATCTTTTCAACGCCACCCCCAGTGCCCAGCAGAGAGCATGGCAAGTAATGGGTGCTCAAGAAACACTGGTACAACAGGAGACGAAAGCCAGCGCCCCTCCCTCCCTGTCGCCGGTCACATTCCCATAAGAAGTAAAAGCAGCTAATGGCATGCTTGCATCAACGGTTCAGGGCCGCGCTCTGCTCCAGGACATCTGGGTCAGAACCCTGGCTGCATTAATGACTGACCGAGTGACCGAAAGCATGTGACTTCAGCTCTCTATGCCTCAATTTCTTCCTTTCAATTCAGAAACAATAATGGTAAGTAAGCAGCAGTACACTGGGTAATTGTGACAATTACGTGACGTATATAAAGCACTTAGCAAACATCTGGCGTGGAATATTTCAACACATGTTAACAATCGGTGTGGTCTGAATGTTCGTTGCCTCCCACCCCAAATTCATAACCCCTAAGGTGATGATACCAGGAGGTATGGCCTTTGGGAGGTATTTAGGTCACTAGGGAAGAGTCCTCCTTCCTTATAAGGGGTTAGTGCCCTTATAAAAGAGGCCCTCTTGTTTTTTTGACCACATGAGAACACAGAGAGAAGTCTTCAGTCTGTAATCAGGAAGTTGGCCCCCAGCCAGAGTCAGGCCATGCTGGTGCCATGACCTTGGACTTCGCAGCCTCTAGAACTGAGAAAAAAAATGCATGTCTCTTGTTTGTGAGCCACACGTTTGTGCTATTTTGTTACAGCTGCCTGAACGGACTAGGACAACTATTCCCGACACTAACTTATGAAACTGTTCTTTGCTCCACTGCTTTTGCATCACTTTTCAAATAAAGTATTTTCAATTAATTCTTCCATTCACAGACAAAAAATGAGTTGAATGAATAAACACCCAACAAAGAGCTATCAAGCAGCAAGTAAGGCAGAAGAGGGATTTAGGCGATGAATGAGCTCAGCGTCCTCTCTTCAGGCAGCAATCAATCTGGCAGAGACAGAGAAAGAATACTAATAACCACATAAACGTTAGAACCCCGGTGTCGCGCTGTAACGCTGGGCTACACACACGGCCGCAAAGTTTGGGAACGGCACAGCTCCCAGGGAGCCACCTGAAGACACTGACGTGGACGGTGAGTGAAGGTACTCCTGGAGCTGGAGAGTGAACAACTTGCACAACTGTACAGGACGGTGCCACAAGGAGGAACACACATGCCACTGGAGCATAAGGTGGGAGAGACCACTTCTCACTAGTGGGGAATCTAGGAAGTGCCCATGGATGATGTGGCAAGTAAACCGGACCTCTGGATGCAAAAAGATGGAGGATAGAGGAAGGCATTCTGCAGGAGGTAACAGAATAAGGAAAGGAACGGAGGTGGGAAAGTCCACCGTATGTCAGTGAAAGAACAATAGTCTTCTTTGAGTGGATCACACAATGTTTATTGAACACCTAGTGTATGCCTGGAATGGGGAGGAAAAAAAGAAGAGAGAGACAGTATTAACAACAAGAAGACAGCCAGACAAGGTTTGGGGAGCTCAGCAGGCAGCAGATTGAAGTTGTAATTCAGGAGGTTCATCTAGTTACCGAGCAGAAGATGAACCAGCGTGGGTAAGAGGAACAGGCTCTCAGAGGACGGTGCAAGCATTTTTTTTTTTTTTTTTTTTGCAGTACGCGGGCCTCTCACTGCTGTGGCCTCTCCCGTTGCGGAGCACAGGCTCCTGACGCGCAGGCTCAGCGGCCATGGCTCACGGGCCCAGCCGCTCCGCGGCATGTGGGATCTTCCCGGACCGGGGCACGCACCCGTGTCCCCCGCATTGGCAGGCGGACTC